TATTTATTTTTTTTTTTAGGAAAATAATGTAGTATCACATTCACAAAGTCTCTTACCAGAAACTGCTGTATTTTAAGAATGCTGTTAGGATTGAAGGGGTAGGCCAGGCTGCAAATGCGACTGTGTTACTAAGAAGCACTTGCTACCAAACAGGTGTGCAGGGCAAGAGCTGCCACTTGGGCAGCACAGGCATGGGGACTTGGGGGTGCAGAAGCCCAGAGGCAGCAATGAGCAGTGCCTCTGAGGCCAATTAGGCCCACTCATAATGAACTTTACTGCAAGTGCAGACGTAAACTGAGGTACCCTCCTAATATACCTTTCTTGGAACATACTGCCAGTCCCTGTATTAGGTATACAATTTGCCAGAATACTCATGCATTATTACTAAGTCAGCAAAAGGCAATGTTAGCCTTTGCAGGACTGATTTTTTTATTATAAAGCCATTTCTTGTCTTTAAATATACTATAAACATGGTCTGTAACACATTAAAAATACCGTGGAAAAAGCAGAAGAAAAAACATTTCATACAGAGGCACAAATTACAGAATTAAAACAACTCTTGTTTCTTCAATTTTTGTGCTAGAAGAGGTGGATAAATTCTTTTCAACTGTCAACCAATGAAAAGAATCTTCGTCAAAAATACATATAAAGTATACAGTTTATACATATATATGTATTATAAAACTATGGTATTTCTGTACCTTTTTTTTGGTCAACATAAGTTGTTACCCAAACTTAAGTTTTGGTCAACATAAGTTATTTAACATGCCACATTACTGAGAATGCCTCTAGTTATTTGGTGCAGGTTAATTTTGTGCAAATATTTTATTTTCCACCAGATGTTGTTAAAATCCAGGAAAAAATCCTTAAACATAAGCAATCAAGAAAAACCCACACTGCTTTCTATGGACTGCCAGGGTGAGCACCACCTTATAACCATCAGAAAAGAACAGACACAAAGTTCTCATTTTGGCTATAGGGGAACACCGTTTAGGGAGTCCACCCAGTGATCTTGTACATCAGCGCCCTCAAAAGCCTGGCCTCGTAGGTAACTGTGTTTTTCCCACTGTGCAACCTCTTCTCTTCAAGGGGCTGCTCAATGACAGCTGGGATGTTTCTTCCATACAGCTCACATTGCTTCAGAAACTGAATGCACTCTTCAATAACACTGTCACATAGCATGATCATGTGCTTGGACATGTTCTCCAGCAAGGACAGGAAACACCGTTTGGCATAATACCATGTGTCAGTGCTCAGTTTTTTATTATATGGCTCCAGGCTTTTAATGACCCTTGTTATGCCAAAGTCATAGTTTCCCTTCACACAGTAGAGGGTCCCGATGACGAGATTGATAATGCAGAAATGGTAGATATTTTTATCAGGACGATTATAGGACATCTGCTCTTCTCCCTGCTCGATCTTCTTCATCAGTTCCTCTGCATCTTCATTCTGGCTTGTCAGGATGTAGGAGACACAGAGGTTAGCTAACACAATCGCACTAACATCGAGAATGTTGTCGTAGTGCTTTTTAACAACTGGCTCGTAGAAGCTAATAGCCTCTTTATACTTATTGTCTTGCATGAAGAGCACATGAGCCACATTGAGCTTCCATACCTCATGTTCATTACAGAACTCCACCGATTTGCGGAAAATCTTTTCTACCATTGCGTAGTTCTTCATGTCCCAGTAGATCTTAGCCTGGGCCATCAAGACCGGTACATATTTATCTAGAGTCTCATCATACTCATTAACTGCCCTTTTTACAGCTTCATCATCCCAGTTTTGTCTAGCTTCCTGCACCTGCTTCATTAGTTTTCTCAGCTGCTCAGTCATCACCCCTGCTGAATCATCTAGCTTGTGGAAAGCCTCCTCAGGGGAAGTTTGACAAGTAATAATGGCATCCAAGAAGTTGTACAAGTAAGGTGTGAGCAGTTTGTAGGTCAGATGGGCATTCTCTGCCAGCACATCAGCTGCCAGGTCATAGTACTGATGCTTGCAGTAGAGGAGTAGCAAGTTTCCAAAAGTTTCTGGTGGACAGGGGTTCTGCAGCAGAAGAAACTGCAGTTTCTCAAATCCTTCAGTGGGCTGGCTGTCCATATTCATTAATGCTTGGTTGTGCAGCGTGACTGGATCCAACTCCTCTTCAGCCCTTGGCGGCATATCTGTGAGTGCCTCCTGGGCTGCTTTCAGGTTGTGCAGTTGGTACTCAATGGCTGCCTTGAGGTTGAAGGCCTCCACCAGGGCCGTGCGGTGCAGGAGCATAGTGTTGCCTACGCTGCGGACATCAATGCCCTCAGTGGTCATGCCCACGCTGAGCTCTGGGTGCTGGTCGATGCCACGCTCTATGATATCGGAGATGTGTTTGAGTGCAGGCGCGTACTGCTTGGCTGCATAGCAGCACAGGGCCATGTTGTAAGACAGCTCAGGGCTGTATCCCAACACCTGCATGGCGCCGGCAAACTTGCCGCTGGCCTCT